TCCCGGGGTCTCTCCCTCTCTCTCATGGAGTCTCTCTCTCTCTCCCTCTCTGTCCCGGGGTCTCTCCCTCTCTCTCATGGAGTCTCTGTCTCCCTCTCTCTTATGGCTTTTCTCTCATGGAGTCTGTCCCTCTCTCTCCCGGGCTCTCTCCCTCTCTCTCCCGGGCTCTCTCTCCTCAGTCTCTTCATTCCTTTCGGAATATCTCCCTTTCTCCTGTGTTTCTCCCTCTCTGTCTCTGAGGCTCTTCCTCTCTCTCACGAGTCTCTCTCTTTCTTCCAGAGTCACTCCCTCTCTCTCGGAGTCTCTTCCTGTATTTCATCGGTGTCTTTCTCTCTTTGTTTTGCGGTCTCTCCCTCTCTCTTGCAGTCTCTCCGAACACTGCATATGAGTGGTGTGCATCAGGAGTGTGATCCTTCAGGACACCACAAAAAAAATCCGGAATGTTTTTACTCTCATCCAGGCAGGAGCAGCATTCATTCCTGTTTAGTACTCTTTTATCCTAGTCACGGTTTCTGTGGTTTACATTACTAATTAGTTCATATTTTGGGAAACCAATTATGATAATCAGAAGTGCAAACACAAATAATAACTGCGGGAACGGGAGGAAGCGGTCAGACTTTCTGAACAAAAGGGTGGGATCGGTCAGAATTCCTTCGGGTGCGGGCGGGAGTGGGATTAAAAACGGTCCCGCTGACACCTCTACTGCACGTCTTCCTGATTATTTTTTTTAATTTTTTTTTTACACATGATGTAATAATCGACACACACACTTTGGTCAAAGGGTGTCACACACGTCTCACATTACAGTGTGGAAGAGTTTGGACAGTCAGATGCTTTGTTTTGCAGTGACAGCTTAATGGCCCTCCACCATATCACGTATATGTGTGTGTGTGTGTGTGTGTGTGTGTGTGTGTGTGTGTGTTTATAGGAAAGGGGGGAAAAAAAAAGAGAAGTATGAAGCCATTAGGAAAGCATCAACTCTTTATCTGAACCTGTCCAAAAGGACAGCATGACTCCGTCCCTGTGTGTGTCAGGCTTATCGGAATCGTACGCACCCACACACACATGGAGTGGAAAGATTCCCTGTATGTGTGTGTGTTTTGTTTTTATTATTTCAGCTTTCTCTCTTCCTCGCGGCTCCATCTGGGTTTAATTTGTACTTCCTGCGTTCGCTCCTGTTTTCTGCTCAGCCTTTTCGAGGAGTGATTGTCTAGAATCAGATTTTAACCTATACAGTAT